TAAAAAAAAAAAGATTGGTGTTTCTTTTCTGAAAAATAACAAAAATCTAAAAATCACATTTTAATTAACATCCTATTTGTTTCAAAAAATTAGAACTTATAATATTACAATACATGTCCTATTATCCCCCTGTGGTCTCTTCACTGAGGTGACCAGATAGATGCTTCCCATATGTTGTACCCGGAGTCTGCAGTGAATGACGTCCTATCTCTGTTTTGATTTGTGTGTTTCATTCCAAGCCTAGTTCTGTTTTTATCACTCAATTTTAAATAATTAGATAATTCTCTAAAAGATACATATTTTAGTAAACATTGCAACATTATAAAAGTTAACAAAACAACTTCAATTTCGAGCAACTGTGAGATTCTTCTACTTCAACATGCAAAGCTGAATGCAGACATCTGAAATTTTGCTGATTTTTAGTTTTCAAAATTAAATCACATATCAAATTCCTTAATCCTAAAAATGAAAGTAGAGTGAACAGCTTTAGTTCCTTTTTAACAGACCTCAAATGCGTCCATCAGGGAAATCTGTTAGTTCTGAAATAGCCTATCACAATTTAGAAGCTGCAGGATGCTACAGGTGTGCCTGCCATCCTTCTCCTAAGATTACTCAGCTTCTCACCAAGTTTTAATGAGCTACATGTTCAAATATGAGCCTTCATGCATAGATCATCCACCGTGGCTTACGTCAGACTGTGGGTTTATTTGGTTACATGATACTCATCATTACAAAGAAAAATGTGTATAAATGAGAGGCAAATAATCCACATGCCAGAGGCTAAAAATCACAGCTCACTCTCACTAAGTGCTCACTGCAAGCCAAATACACGGTATGTGTTTTAGGTGTTTTGACTCATTCTTGTAACAACTGATGAGGCAAGAGCTATCAGCAATTTGCAGTTAAAGAAACTGAGGCAGAGGCTAAATCCCTTGCCCACATTGACACAAGTAGTGGTGGATACACAAACAGCCCTGCAACCCAGACCAGCTGGCTCCGCGGCACCTGGGCGCTGCTGCTCACTGGGATCAGAGAGCAGGCAGCAGAGTCCAGCGGACTGAGCACCCCTGGGGAAGGAGGACAGCAGATAAGCAGCACACCCCACCGTCTCTGCCCAGGAGACTTAGAAGTATTCACTGTAACTTTACCCTTGGGATCTGTATTATTAGCTGAGTGAATAAGGATATCGAAGCCCATACAGGTTAAACACCTTTACCAAAGTGAACCCGGGGAACTCAAGTACAGGCCAGGCCCCCCCTAGAAGCTCCAGTCTGAGGTTTATTCCTGGCTTCTCTGTTCCAGGCTATCTTTTCATGTTTCCCGCCAGGATACAACCAAATAAGGTAAAGAAAGTGCTCAGAAGAGTGCTGGTTCCTCTTGCTGAGAGGGACATAGCATTATCGTCATCATCATCATCATTGCCATTTTCATTTGGAAGAAGATGAATTATCACCCTGAGAAAAATACCAATTTTGTCCAGGAACTGATACTAAGAACAGGAAAGGCATAACTGAAGAGACACACTACCATAGAAATTATACATCACAGAATTGCAGGTTAAGATACATGCTGGGTAGAAGTGTGAATAGGAGACAAGTAGTCCTGAGCCTTCTGTGCAGAATCCTCCCTCTGCTCAAATCAGACTGTGGGTTTCCTCATTCAATGTTATATTTATTAATAGCCAGGAAATGCTCAACTGGCACATCTTT